AGTAGATCTGTGTTCACTCAGGAATTTGAAGGTCTCCAGTTTAAGTGTGTGTAATTCTGATCGCTCTTTGTTTAAAAATACCAAATCAAGATAAAAATGAATATCAAATAATCCAAGGTGTTTTAACTTTCATGTTATTCAGTAGATTTTGTTTTTGTTCATATAAATCAAATTTACAACAAAATCTTGTTATACATTTAGTGTTACCTCTTAATTCATTCATATATTCAACAATAGTAAATTTGAACGGTTATTTCATCATTAATTTATTTTAATTTAATCACACTTTTTTTTACAGACAACATATGTAAATGATTTAACAAATAGCTTAATATTATTATCTATCTATCTAATCAATTTGTTAAATAGACGAAAGTTTTCTTAAAGTTAAATATTAGCATTTTTCCTGCATAAAGAAGCGTGGTTGAGTTATATAATGTAAGTGAAATGTCACATATTTGAAAAAAAAGTATAATACAAGTAATTAATATTGATACTGTTGCTTGTTGAATGACATTTCACAAAAAGAAGGATATTCATAGTCATACGAAAGTATGTTAGTCAGTCAACTACAACGTAGGACCAAGGACATATATGCATCGGTCCAAGATGCCATACCTCATTAATACAAGAAGATGGACACCGGATTCATAAAAGTAGTTAATTCAGAGGTGGTAATATATAAAAGAAAGATTGCATATAAGGAAATAGTACACGAAGAAATAATTAGTTCGTAGAAAGGAAGATATGAAGCAATTTTAATCTCTTAGTTTAAGGGGAAACAGAGAGTGTATAAACCGACGCCATCGTGATCGATTCTGAACCATGTCGCCCAGAGTCTCCAACTAAAAGTATAAACCTAATAGTTCACATTTTTTTCATTTAGGTAATATAAAAAAATTACATATATCTTGAACAGTTATTGATAAGATGTTCAATTATCTGTAAAGTGTAAATTTAATGAAAGTGGATTCATTGAACAGTGGGATTTTCTTCATCATCGTGTGTATGAGTAGTAGTAGTAGTCGTAGTAGTAGTAGTATTAGCAGTCGACCACCAGAAGGAAAAGTAAGGGAGAGGGTAAGCAGCCTTGTCTGACTCCGGTCCTTACTTGGAATGCATCTTTCAGCTGTCCTCCATGCACGACTTTGCATTGTAGTCCGTCGTATGAGTTCCGGATAATATTGACAATCTTCTCAGGAACTCTGTAGTGTCGAAGAAATTTCCATAACTTCCTCCTATCCACACTGTCAAATGCCTTTTCATAATCAATGAAGTTGATGTACAGTGTTGAGTTCCACTCAACTGATTGTTCGACGATGATCCGTAGTGTTGCAATTTGGTCTGTGCACGATCGATCCTTACGGAATCCTGCCTGTTGATCTCGAAGTAGGGCGTCTACTGAGTCTTTCATCCGGCTCAGCAACACTGTTGAAGACCTTCCCTGGTATTGACAGTAGTGTAATGCCTCTGTAGTTTTCACATTTGCTCAGATCTCCTTTCTTTGGAATCTTGACGAGGTGTCCTTCTTTCCAGTCCATCGGCACTTGTTCCTCCTCCCAAATCTTTTTGAATAGAAGGTAAAGCATGTTTCTAGTTACTTCGATGTCTGACTTCAGTGCTTCAGCTGGTATGTTGTCGGGTCCCGCTGCTTTCCCGTTCTTGATTTGTCTGATGGCCATTCTGATTTCTTCCTTCGTTGGTGGGTTGACGTCTATGAGGAGATCTGTGTGTGCTGCTTCGATGTCCGGTGGATTCATTGGAGCCGGCCTATTCAGGAGTTTCTCGAAGTATTCTACCCATCTTTTCCGCTGTTGTTGAATTTCAGTGATTGGCTTGCCTTCTTTGTCTTCGACCAGTCTCTCTGGTTTACTGTATTTCCCTGATAGTTTCTTCGTTGTATCGTAAGGCTGTTTCATATTTCCTTCTCTAGCAGCTTTTTCCGCCGTCGTTGCTAGTTCTTCCACGTATTTCTTCTTGTCGGCTCTAATGCTTTTCTCCACTTGCTTGTTTGCTTCTATGTATTCAGCTTGTGCTTGTACTTCCTCTGCCCGTGTTCGGCTGTTGTTAATTGCCGTCTTCTCGTTCTTCCTTTCTTTGATCTTGTCCAGTGTTTCTATAGAGATCCATTCCTTATGGTGGTGTTTCTTTAGGCCCAGAACCTCTTGACAGGTTGAAGTTAATGCTTCTTTGATGCATTTCCAGTTGTCCTCCATAGTAGTTTCTTCTTCCTTCAGTAGATCTTGTAAAGCTTGAAACCTGTTGTTGAGGGCTATCATGAATTCGTTGATTTTGTTAGTATCTCGAAGGAAGGCTGTATTGAACCTTTGTATTGCTGTTTGTCCAGTTCTTTTTTAGCTTCAGTTTTAAATTGGCCACAACTAGGTGGTGATCTGAAGCAATATCAGCTCCTCTCCTGGTTCTCACATCTTCCATTGTCCTTCGGAATTTTTTGTTGATGCAAATATGGTCTATCTGGTTCTCTGTAGTGTGGTCCGGTGAGATCCGTGTAGCCTTGCGTATACGCTTGTGTGGAAATATTGTGCCCCCTATGACCAATTTGTTGAATGCACACAGATTTGCAAATCTTTCTCCATCTTCGTTTCTCTGTCTCAGTCCATGTCGTCACATGATATCTTCATATCCGGTGTTGTCTATTCCGACTTTGGCATTTAGATTTCCCATTAGAATGGTGAGGTACTTTCTTGGGCACTTCTCTATGATTGATTGCAGCCGTTCGTTGAATTGATCTTTGATGTCGTCGTTGCTATCATTGGTGGGTGCATAACATTGGGTAATATTCATTGTGATACCCTCCTTCTTTGTTTTGAATGATGCTTTGATGATTCTGGATCCGTGAGATTCCCATCCTACAAGTGCATTTCGTGCTACTTTGGACAGCATAAGAGCAACTCCCTGAGTGTGTGGAGCATTTTCCTCTTCGTGACCGGAGTATAGCAGCATCTCTCCCGTAGCTAGCCTTTTCTGCCCAGCTTGGGTCCAGTGGGTTTCGCTGATTCCCAGTACTGCCAAGTTGTATCTCCTCATTTCCGTTGCCATTTGACTAGTCTTCCCGGTGTCCCACAGTGTTCGGACATTCCATGTACCTATAAAAATTGTTGCTCTGGTTGTTAGAAGGGGCGTCGGCCTCGTTTCATCCGAAGGAACTCGGCTTTCACCATGAAGCGTCATAATTCTTCTAAATGAAGACATTCTAACTCCCAGGGCAGAGTTAAAATGGTTTGAATTATTTTTTCTGGTAAGCATGTTTCTAGCGATTGATTTTTAGCGCTCACACACACTCACTTGTTTTCACAGTGTACTTGCTCGCTGTAGGCTTGTGGATTATATTTATCCTTAACAATAAAAATATCTCTAGAACTGGTGTACAGGCTTCTGAATAATCTCGAGTAAATGAATAATCCTACAAGGAGATTTAGAATATATTAAATAATCGGTTAACGGGATATAATTTATTGGAGTCAGATATACAGGAAATTAGCCCTCAACAATAGTAGACAGTAGTGTGTGGCACATCATAACGACACTGGCATTTCATTGGAACACCAGTGTTAACCATCAATAGATGAATGTGGGTAAGAAGATATGACAACAAACTGAACATTTGATCATTCAATTTGTCCTACTCATCAGTAGTATGGTTTGACATGTGAAAGAAAGTGACCATGAAACTGACCGACCGAGAGACCGATTGACTGCACGACTGAATAATTCACTCACTCACACACTCATTCACTCCCTCAATCACATACCAGTTCACATGTCAGCTGACATTCACTAACACCGTTATAACAACAATCACACTTGTCAACATCACAACATCTCACCCATTAACACTCTCTTATCACCAGAATAAACGCAACACAATCTCGTGTGTCGTGTCCTCCACACAACTTGTCAACATGCATTCATTCATGCATGCACATAATGTGGAGTGTATTTTGTGTGTTCCTGTGAGAATATGGGAGAAAATGCATCCATGCATATTACTTTTACTGTTCGATGTGACTGGGTTTTTCGACTGCTGTCTCACTTCTGTTTTGTCAGACATCTGGATTTCGGGTGGCTACAATGTTGGTCGACCATATCTGTGATTAGACCGGTTTGATTTAATTGACTGAATGAGTGGATACTTGAACGGATATATATTTGGTTTGCTAATTGTTAAGAAAGTTTACTGTTTTAAACAGTGAACAGCTCATTTTGAAGCTATTTAACTAGTGATATGTTTGCCTGTTCGAATTAGAACATTATTCCTGAGTTGTGAGGAACCTGTTTACCGATTTGCAAGTAAGTACTGTATATTCCTAATGTGTAATTGTTTACTGTTCCTAGTTGATCGTACAAGTCTGTTGTTGTACCAGTGACTGTTACTGTTAGAGAAAGCGTTGTTCAGGTTTATTCCTGTGTGACACCGAAGGTCATGGTTTCGACTGGCAAGTGTCGAGTGGTGGATGCACACCTCTGACGAGTTCCATACTAGTACCAAACCACCGTCCACTCCTTCCACCTTCTCAATGTTCATCCAACTAACACCAGTTTGTCATTTAAACTATGAAAATTACTCTGATCAATTTTGATTTACATTCATCCATTCTGTAACATTTGTCCACATCACCTTGTACACTTTCCCACGATACTTACTATACCGAATTATTCATTGTCCATTATCCACCTTTCATAGAATCAATCAATCGAGGTGCGTCAGTGAAAACTTCTTCGGTCTATGTCTATTTGTATTAACGCGAATTATGAGTCGAGCACATAATGAATTCGTGTCTCTTTATACGTGTATTAAGTGTTGCATTGATATTGTCTTTAAGCATCCTGATATTTAATCTGCGAATGGACCATGTAGTGATGTATTAGTAAAATAAATAGACGAGTAAATGAACAACTAGGTTGCTATGCTGAGATAGAAGGATGTTTAGTCGTCAAGTGATAGTCAACCTATTTTTTTTAATTTTTCCATTTTGTAGGAATAAGGTCCAAAAGATATGTTTTCGTTAAATAATAATTTATTGTGTAGTAGTTATCTCGGAATGCACAGAGCTTTTCGTTTTTCCAACGAGCTTTATTTTCTCCAGATGTATTGCTCTCTGTGTGCTTTGTTGGCAGTACTTGTGGACATCCAAATAAATTCTATGTTCGTCTTGAGATTGACGTGATTTATGAAGTTGTATCCAATTGCAGTTAAATATGAACACCATTTACCAATAATTTCACATACCTTATTTTATATGCTATGCTTCGTGCCAATGCAGCATATATACTTTTTACATATTTGTCTTGATACTGGTGAGGATGCTTCGTCGGCTTTGATCTCAAACTTCCTCTGGTTCGGCAGACTGTTTTCTTTATGACAAATAGTGCATCTCTGATTTCTAAACCGTCAAATTCTTGAGAAGTGCCACGCACCACAAAACCAACATTTAGTTGAAGGTTTGGAAATTTTCGAGTGGTATTATTTTCTCTTCGACCTGTCTTAACAACGTAAAACGAATAATTAGATGGAACTACACTTTTGGTTTCCAGCATAACTGTATCCTGTTTTAAGTTTATTATTCGTTAGCACTCATCAGTAACAATTTTTAGCGTCATTTCATAGTCATGTTCTATACGGGACAACGACTTCATGAGGAAGTCAGCATCGATGGGAGAGTTCACATCAGAAATGTATAATAAGTACCTAAATTGATCACTGGATAATACATTTAATTTTAATCGTTCCGCTCGTAAATTTACTCTTCCGGCGTACGTAGCGTAGTCTTATGTGGGCACAGTCTACCGGTAAACTCAATAAGGCCCTGAGAAGCTCAGTAAGGCCCGAAGACATTTCATCCAATCATCTTTTGGAAGAATGTTCCAGAACCCTTACGTAGAGCTTCGCTATTGGACAAATGCTAATAACCCCCCGTAAGCGGACTGGAGGACTATAATGGTGATTTCCTTTTTACTAAAAATTATACCTGAATTTTGTATCATAATTGACACCGTTTGGAATAGCATTCCTTTCACTTTTCTTCTGTCTTCTCATTTGCGACTTGGGTGTGTTCTAGCGTTCGAGTGCTGAAGCCATACGCGGTATATTAAGAATCTAGGCTCTAGATATAACATCTTTATCAGCTTAGTTTGTCAGCTGTAGACAGTTATACCAGATACGAATTAATGATATCTATTCACAGAACATTTAAAATACTAACAGTTTCATCGAAGTTAACCTCTCGTGGATGTTTAGGCAGAATATGAATTTTGTACTTATGATGCTCGTTAAAACCGAGCTTCTGTAAAAGCAGCGGGAATTTCTTTGCGTCATCCATAGCAGCGAATTCCATTCGGAAAATATCTTCTATTCTGCCGAACCACGCTTCATAAGTGTGACCACTTTCTGAATCAAATATCCTGGAATTCGATGGAGATATGACTATATCCTTATGTTCTGGAATATCTTGTTAAATAGAAGTTTTTGCCAAAAGTGCTTTCAAGAGTAGCTGTTGGGAAACTAATACATTTTGCTGCTGCTGTAATAATGACAGCTAATGTTAATACAAACTCCAAAAATCACCGGCAATTATTATAGATTATTTCTTCCCGAAATTCACGTCACCGAAGAGTTTCTTTCTTCGCGAACCTCCATCGCCAATTTTTGTGACTTTTAAGCCCGGCTAATTATCACGTGACTTATCCGCCAATCGGAATACGACTTAGACAATTTTAGCATTGTCCGAAACCAATGACGTATCGACCGGTATGAACAGCCTAGAGTATTTATTGATCCTATTCCTCTTAGCCTTGCCAGTTGGGTCCAGAACACCAATACCAGCTTACCCTATACGAATCCTTTATTTCAAACATACCTGGATTATATATAAGCCAAACGAAACATATCACACCATAAAATAGGAAATAACATTTATACAATTTCAAGCCCAAAAGTGGTTGTAACCGTGAGAGACTAAATAAACTGAGTATAATTTAAGACTATTAGATACTATCATAATAATTTATAGGTCAAAAAGAACCTAATGATGAGAGGAAAATAGAAATGCATAATCAAGTTACGGAATGGTTATATGATAAGAATATACGTATAATATTAGTCCATTATTCGTTCTCAGGAGTTACCCGTAATTTAATCGACACTAGGACATAACAATATGATTTACAACTTCTCGAACCTTGTTCCAACATTCCTGTGTGTGCGTGAGGCAGTTGCACAGGTGCACACACATCCCAGTACCTGTGTTGTCAGTTGACCAATTGAGTCGATAATGATGACAAGATGGTTAAGCACTGCCACTTCTTTCGTTCTGTGCATTGTGTGTACACTGGTCAGTATCGTCAATGTCGAGTGACGACTGTTTACTTCTTTCAATCTCTGCATAGCAAGCTAGTTGTTTGTTTGCTTGTTCTGCTGATTCGTTTGTTGTATGGTTTGGTGTTGTTTGGTCGGTCGTTCGGTTGGTTGGCTGACTGGCTAATTGATGGTTAATTTATCCCAGTGAATGCTGTCCAGTATGAATTCGTTGTGGTGTCCTCAACACACAATCCAAACAACAAATCATATTATTGGTTGCATATGAAATCTGGAACAATCTGTTCAACCGACCGACAACTGACAGAATGTTACAGTTGACATGGAAGCACTTGGAAAACAGTTACAACACAGTGTTCAGTTGGTTGACTTTGTGAGTGCAGGTATGGAGGGACACGAATGCATTATGTAATCGATTCATCATTCGCGTTAATACGAATAGACATAGACCGAAGAAGTTTTCACTGACGCACCTTGATTGATTGATTCTATGAAAGGTGGATAGTGGACAATGAATAATTCGGTATAGTAAGTATCGTGGGAGTGTTGGGGTCATTAGATCCCTAGAACTCACTTGGGAAAGGACCTAATTTTATTTAGAAAATTCGAATTTCTTTGTTTTCGCGCCAAAGGCGCTCTTGGCACCTTCATGTCGTATTTCCGACTGGGAAGTTTCTTAAATGCTATTAGTCTGTTGCGTTTTTTAGTATGCTATTTGGTAACTCTCTGCAAGGACGGTTCTGTACTGTATATATACGTTTTGAATTGTGTTTGTTCTTATCGCTCGTTTATGGCTGTTTGCAGATTATACTTCCCCATTCCAAGCTTGGACTTCTCCCTCTAGTTAGTGGGGCTGGGACGCATCAATAGCCATTATACTGGTCTGAACGAAGGGTAGTAACATCAGTCGGTCTGCATATAAGTGGAAATTGACAAAGATTCAAAGGAGTTATGAACCATTAATGCCCACCGTGGACTCTATATCAGTTTAAGCGATAACTGTCTGGTGTAAAGCCAGCTCCAGCAATTTCCCAGCAGATAGTGGATACTTTGATGCCTAACCTCAAAGGTGCAGCAGATTATTTGGATGATATTATAGTTGTTGGTTCTTCTGCTTAGGAACTACTGGTCCGGTTAGATGTTGTACTTACTAAAATATCGCAAGTGGATTTTCGGGTACAAAAAGAGAAGTGAATTCCTACTCGAGTCTCTTAGATACATGTTTGATAAGGATGTTCGTCGACCAGATCCAGATAATATAAATCCTATCAAAATATGCCCAGAAAGACTGATGCTACAACCATTCGTTCGTTTATGGGGATGATTGTATATTATAATGTGTCCATACCCTACATGTGTAGATTGTGACACCCACTAAACCAACCTTTGATGGCTAATGCAACATGACACTGAACAAAGGAATATCAAGATTCTTGCGACGAAATAAAAAGAATTTAATCTTCTAGACTGTTGCTGACCCATTACAATCCAAAGGTTAAAATAATTATGACCGCTGATGCTTCCAACTATGGAATTGGAGCTGTCATCAGTCATCGTCTACATGGTGGTAAACAAAAACCAATTACTCATATATCCCGAACTCTTAACCCAGCTGAACGAAAAAAACAGTCAGATTGAGAAAGAACTAGCTTTATTTTTTGCAGTAAATAAATTCCATAAAATGACTTATGGTCGTCAATTCGCCCTTCCAACAGATCACAAACCGCTCATATCTATATTTTGATCGACGTCGAGTATTCCTGCATATACAGCAAACAGATTACGACGCTGGGCTATTACATTACTTGCTTATGATTTCGAAATTGTATGTAAATCAACAAAAAACGTTTGGACCAGCTGATGCTTTATCTCGACTAATTACGAGTCAGAAGCAGGAAAGTGAAGATCCTATTATTGCAACGATATCGTTGGGAGAAGATATTCATCAAATACAAGTTGTTATAAAAGCAACATTGTTATCCGCTGAAGATATTAAACGTTATACTTAAGAAGACGACGAGCTGAAGCGGATTATTAGTTATCTCGAACATGGTTGGCCCGCTCACACAGACAACAAGAACACTTAGCAGTATGCTTACCGAAAAAATTCCCTATCACTTGTGGACGGGTGCCTGATGTTTGGAGATCGAGTAGTTGTACCCACAAGCTTACTTCGTAAGGTGATGTTAGAGCTGCATGCTGCTCACTCAGTGGTACCACGGATGAAAGCACTTGCACGTGGCTATGTATACTGGTCGAATATTGATACTCAGATCGAATAATATGTTGCGAGATGTTCCGCATGTGTGAGAGCTATCAAAACCCCTCGGAAGAAGGAAACGCATAGTTGGGGAACACCAACAAATCCGTGGTCGAGAGTGCATGTGGATTTCGCCGGTCCTGTAAACAACAAACAGCTCTTGGTGATCGTTGATGCCTTCTCCAAATGACCAGAAGTCCACTACATGAAGTCTGTCTCGACAAAAGCTACTATGGGAAAACTGAGACAAACATCCGGCTACTTTGAGTGTCCAGATATATTGGTGTTGAATAATGGACCACAATTTAACCCTGTCGAATTTTCGAAGTTCTGAATCGGCAATGCCGTTAGGCATATCAAGACAACTCCATACCATCCATAGTCTAACGGTTTAGTCGAGAGGTTCGTGGACATGTTTAAAAGAGCACTGTTTAAAGCCGAGGGAGGAGATTTCTACTAACCTACCGCGCAACACGCGACCCAGCAACAAATAATCAGGAATGTCCGGCAGAAGCAATTTTTGAGGAAAAATTAGAATACCTAGAGAACAAATGAAACTAAAACCTAGAACCAACCTCTGCAAGAATAAACGAATGGAACGGTAATTCAACAACAGACAGTGCATTAGCCAGAGCGTTCAGAGTGGGACAAATGGTAATAGCAAGAGACTTCCTGGGAGTAAAGCCAACCTGAAAGTTCGGCATCATAATCCGAATAAAAGGAAAGTCATCGATGAAGTAAAAGCCAGACAAAAGATATGGGTGTGACACGCAAACCAGATACAACCAACCAGACAAGAATGGGAGACAGGGAGTGATATAAAGCCGGATATACCGTAGTGAACGAGAACACAGGCGGAGACAAACAAATGTATTTGAATACAAACTTACAGAATCTGTTAGGAAAATCTGAGAACCATATAGTAAATACTTCATTTGCTAGATGTCTATCGATTGTCTCAGACTTAACTGTTCCTTCCTTTCCGCACCAAAAACTCTCTGTTCTCGTTCTCGCCTCTTCGATCTTCTCAATCTTCTGCAGCCAGGTATTCCAATTTCGATCGGTGACATATCCTACTTATATGTGTTATCAGTAGAACACAAACAATCACAGATTTATAGTGGAAAAGTTCTGTGTAAAAAAATACATTTAAATAATACGCCTTGTGTAGGAGAGATTTATATTGTCACAAAAAGAATATATACACGAAAGTTATTTGATAAACTAAGTGATCAATTATAAATATTAACATGTTGGTCGTGTGTGCATACAGGTAAGATGAAAGGGAATTCTAAAACATTTAATGTATTATGGTTGTTAGTACAATGAAATATATTTCGAGGAATATAAAAACTATAAATGCAAAAACCCTGAAATATGGGATGAATCAATATAATCCGGTATGTATGTATAATGGTGATGATAAAAATATAACTTACGAGTACGTATAATAAACTATCTCTGCTTATAGGTGATTGATAGAATTATGGAAAGTCATATAATAGAACTATCCACAAATCATCGTAAACAGTTTTTAGTCATTCTTGAAGAGAATAAGTTTACAAATAAACAACTAAGATCATTTCAATTTGTTTAGTATAAATTGGATTCAGTTAGTTCATCTTCATCATCATCTACGAGTGAATCACTGAAAAAAAACAATGGATGACAAGTGAAGTAATGTTTAGGTTTATACTAATTAAAGAAAATAATCCGCTTTACAGAAAATTACTGTAGTCTATATTTTCCATTGGTACTTTGACAAAAACACAAACAATAGAGTTTGATGTGTACACGTTGATAAGATGAGTGGTTTCTAATTAGAATTTTTTCGTTGTTCATATAAACGAAATCTATGTCCCAAAATAAATTAAATTTGAGGGTCATCGAGTCATACAATACCGTTTGATACATTTGAAAAATATGCGTTAATTGGAGACAAACAGTTGTTAGTAGGTATTTGCAGAGAGAGATAATCAATAATAAGATCGAATATTAAAAGTTGCACCATAATTTCTTCATGACTGTCAGTCAGTCAGTCAGTCAGTAACAACGTAGAACTTCGTACGTACGTACATCAGTTCGAGTTGCCACACCACATTAGCACAGAGATGCAGTTGTCGATTCAAATCCCATAGTGGTAGAGGTAGCAAGAGTATAAGAAGTAATCGGGAAGATTAGGGTTTGGAGATGTTATTTAAAGAGTATAATCCAGTGAAATAAATTTGGAAAGAGGAAAAAGGGACATGAAGAATTCAGAAGATTAGAATTTGAGAGAACACAGAGAGTGGATGCACCTGCGCCATTGCAAACGATTTTGAGCCATATCATTCAGGGTCTCTAACCATCGGTTGCTATCATCTCGTGGTCCCAAACCAGGTAGTCTACATCTACCAACATGACTCAGTTCACTTGTCAGTGACTTCATGGACTTGTGCCATGTTTTGGTTTGGCCGCCCCTAGCTTTCTTCCAACCTACTCCTATACCACTGAACATAGCACATCGAGGCAGTCGGTCGTTGGGCATACGTAACACGTGTCCCAGCCATCTCAACTGATGAAGTTTCACTACTTCATCAATTGATTTGCCATCCTTACCTTCATGACTGATTATTCCGATAACTAATGTTTCGGAAACTTTCAGATTTTAGGTTGCTTGTAAGCAAGTACTTAATAGCTTTAGTCACAGTTTCCCAATTCCCACAAATTATAGCCACAGAATAAATAGACAGAGTATACAAACAGATATTGAAACGCATCAACCAAGTATTTCAGAGACGTTAAATTGCAAAAAAGGAGTGTACATGTTGTGAACCATTTAAACTCATTTTGTGAATTGAAACAGAATTATATTCACACAACTCTCATTACATGAAAACTGATGATTCAGTCCACAGGTACTAAAAGAGTGGGCTTAAAAATGACTTTCTCTCTCTCTCTCTCTCTCTCTCTCTCTCTCTCTTATATATATATATATATATATATATATATATATATATATATATATATATAACTGGACTCTTATTTTCGCTGATAACGAAATCCTGAAAATTAATGATAAGTATGACAATATCTTCAAATCGAACATCGAACAGTATACAATAGACAGAGTACAATTCGAAAAATGCGTCTATATTTCGTACACAAGAATTTACAGATAACACACAAAAGTAGATTATACTAATGACTGATTTCTCGGCCATTACCATACATTGTATGCGACCTCCAAAATTTATAAAGTAGGTTTTCATTTCAAGAAATCATGGGTTCTTTGTTTCGATGTGTTGGCGACTTAATGATAGAACAGCATTAAAAATAATTCGAGCTAAGAAAATATATCTTTAGAAAATAGACATACTAAACTAGTCTTGTACTGAATGCAAATCATGGAGGATCCTAATCAAGAAATAAAACTACAATATTATACAAATAAAGTAAACAATTGCCAGTCAACTGTGTTATTAGAATACTGACGGTAACAAGCTAAGACATCCATACTACTATTCTGTTATTTGAAATGTCGGCAGCTTTTAATAAAACAAATCCTTGGAATAATTCGAGTAAACAGTTTGTGTTTATTGATAGCCAATCATAATTTACGTGTACCTACTGCCTCGAACACACAGCTAATATCCATATCGAACAAAGAACGAAACGATACTAAACTTCTAATGAGTCTCTGATACTAGGATAAGTTAACCGAAAAACAGCAGTTAATTGCATCATTTTCAAACGAATAGTATATTTTCTGTAGTTAATAGTGATTAAGACAAATATAGATACAATACCTGATGCGAATCAAACTTATGACAATAGTGAAAATTTGAACAAAAAATAATAGAAAATAATTTGGTTTCCTATTTTTATCCACCACAGTAAAAAAAGGTATGCTTACTTTAATACACGAAGAGAAAAGAATAATACACGACGTAAGCATCGATTATGAAAAAAATAATTGAAAGATGCTAAACATCCTGAGCTGTATGGATCGGATAGATGATCAGGACGATAACTAAACCAAAAGAGAAGAACGATGAAACTAAAATTAGTGTAGATATTATTCATTCAGTAAAGTCGGCAGGATCTAAACTTCATGACATGAAAATAAAATGCCACCATCATATTAAAGTTCTTAGGAAACATTTACCTATATATGCGACATTGAGCAGGCACAATTTCATCACCGATGACTTTCCAAAGATGAGGTGCTAGATCTTCGTATTTATCCACATAAATGGAACAGAACCGAGAAATGTAGTGTTTTACAAGCTGACGAAATGAAAGTGAAGATAATCATGAGGATATTAAAGAAATTAGTAAAATTGAGATTGTTGAGCCAATATATACATAAATATGATCTTTGAACAGTAAGTAACGGTTACACTAAAGACGGGGAGTTTTTGAAGGAACTCCAACTTTTAAACCACCATAAGTCACCAGGCTCAGATGGCGTACCCCACTTCCCCCCCCACGGATGGAGGCAAACTTCTGGTCAGAGATCTTACTAATTAAATTGGGAAGATTATGGAAGTAAACAGTTCTGTAACCTTGCAATGAAGCAACTGCCGCCCCACCACTTCTGGAAGGGACTAAGTAAAGCATTTGAAAATGATTAGTGTGAGTATTCTCACAGACTGCAAACTACTTAATTTGTGACAAGACTCTGTGGTCTAAAAGGTAGTTGCATGGGACTGACATATGTTAGTTCATCGCAACTCCTTAAGTGGGCTCTTATAGGACATGTAGCTGCTCAGTGGCTTGAGGCGTTGGTATAAAGAACAGAAGCTAGTGATGATCAGTCTGCAGCCTCTAAATACATTCTTTATGGAAGACAAACTATGTTAGATGAACGATATCTCTCATCGCCATTTTCTTAGTTTAGCTATATCATTTAGTCAATACAATTATTGTCAATTTATTTAGACTGTATATCTTTACAATAATATTACTCCATCTTGTGTGGCGCGTTGTTTTGGCGCTCTAATGTGTTAAAATATGTATTAATTAAATCGTTAAAATATCTGGAACGACGTTAAGAAAATAATCGTTTCTGTTTAGTGAACAACAAGCATATTTGTCTTAATTAAGTGGTTCATGAATCTAATCTTAAAGTTTTGATGCTTTTTATAAGCTTATGTGAGCACAAAACTACGATTAGGTCAATAATAAAACATAGCCAACCCAAGTTTTTTAATTCTTATCTGGAACTATATTATTGCTTATTGCCAAGTCTATCAATTAGAATGTTGAGTATAAAAAAATTCACGAATTTATAGCACGCGCTTTTTATCACATATTTCAAATGAAAAATATATAGCTGAATTCTTACGGCTACATGTAACAAAATCCTGGAGTACAGTGTTAAAATATAGTTACCGACTGGCTGAAAGATAAGTAATCCCAAACATCTATTAAATGAAGTCTGTAGAAAGGATTTTTACTTTTGTTTAGATGGAAGTGTATTCTCAACTGAATGTCGATGACAGAATTCCCAATAGCTTACCAGTCAACATTTATACATAAGAATTAATACGAATAGTTTCAAGTATTACATTTCCAGATGCTGGCATTGTTCATAAGTTGTCTTGAAAAAATAGGAACTTTCTTAGTGGAAAACCTCATCCAACAGTGTTTAAATGATTCAGAAAAACGCAGTTCACTCCTTATCATATAAAACTAATACGAAGAGTTACAAAACCGATTGGGAGTATGGTGTCATGCATGAAAAGTTGGAACGAAATTCACAAACAACGTACCCATAGTTCAGGTTCCAAACAAAACTCATCACTTCTAGCAGTAAGGAAATCATAGGCAGGGCCAAAACAACTATTTAATGTACTCATTAAACAGAACAAATCTTTGGTTGATAGAGCTGAGGTTGGAAACTTTGGAGACGGTGATTCTGAAGTACTATCATTCAAACATATAGATGTTTCAGATCGAGTACGTTTTCTTCCGCTGCATACATTTCTGGGAGGGGAGAGGCTGGAAGAATTCTGTCAAATTAATCAGGAATCAAGAAATTAAAATAAACATAAGAACTATGAACAACCCCAAAACAATGGCATTATTGATCGCTCAACGGTCACTGAATGTAAACAGGTAACACACTTAAATAATTATTTTAAGAACAAGCGCGTACTACATGCATTCTTAACTAATATTTAACAGACTGTACGGACCAATTTATTTTATAACACAAATAAGTATGTTTGGGTTCCAACAGTTTCCTTAGTGTTGTAAATAGATCTTTATTTCAGAGTCTGGATATTTATGTCCGAGATAAAACATGCTATTGAATTTCCAGTATAATAAAGTAATAAACCAGTAATCTTGTAATGAACCACATCTACACTTAAATACCAAACTAAAACTATGAATAACTGCAAGTAGTCCGAGATGAATGCATCGTGATTCGACGGTAAGGACTGCTTAGTTGCACCTACTTTGTTAGTTTATCCATTTTAAACGGAAATCTCGTACTTAGATTATCGTCCAAAGATGTTTGTAATTTAAAGTTACTAAACAGTAGCTGGATTTCGTCTCGTTGCTCACCTTCGGCCTTCCCGACATGGTTGAACCTCGGTCGGTATAGCCCTCAGGATCACTGCAACACACAAGCCCGTCTACCACGCCAAGGTACCAGCCAACAGACGGGTCGGTTCTAGACTGTGAACACCTACACAACTAGTAATTACAAGCACTATTAAATCTTCAAATAATAAGAGATATTTAAAGCCAATGAGTATAAGGCAGTAACAAATCCCTGAAAATAAAATCCTATATGAATATAAAGTTGGTTATTTTTTTTGGTTTTTGGCGTAACGTAATTATATGTTAGAGTAATATTATTACTGTACATAAGTCGTATTTACTAGGCTTTGCGAAGCTAAAATGACAAGCAAATTATGAAAAAACAAGTGGATATAAATAAAGAGCAACTCGGACGGAAATAATCCGCAAGATGGTAGCATTAAGCGTAAAATTTTAGTCCAGTACTTCGTAAAATCTACTGCTAACCCAGATAGATGCACCAACTCTATAAAAGCATACAATGAGAACTCGATAAAATGATACGAGGACACAGAGAGTGATGAAAAAAATTATAAGAAAAAACAAGTGACCGGTGGTGACTGATCCTGGATGATACTCATCCGAATTGTTTCGGGATCGACCACTTGTCCAGTCATTTCATACAAATCCCGTAGAGTTTGCGAGGACCCAAGGTAAAGGGCAGGAGATTCTTGATTTTCATCACTATTTAAACGAGAAACTAATTCCTTATATTGACGTTTCTCTTCTGAAACCATTTTGCATGAATAGCTTTCTAGCCTAGAAGAGCAAAGTAATTAAAACAACACATCAGATACATAAACAATTTGAGGTAAGCTTCGGTATGTAAGACTATAAAGTAAACAAAAGTTATGCGAATGTTTGTAAATTTGGTTTATAAAGATAGGATTAGAACGAGAAATAAAACTCAAATCATAAACTGCATACACGTCCGGAAACTAGTGTGAGTTTAGAACTAATGGGAGGCCTGTAGCAATTGACTGAAAGAAACAAACTAGATAACGAGTTGAGTTTGTAACCCTACAGGTCGTAATTTAGCCAGTATACATAGTCACAGTTTTAATATGAAAATAAGAACCCAATTAAAAAGGTTTCATTTCTTAAATTTCCCTGAAATAGTAATCCCAACGACTTCACTGAACCTTCAGAAGTTTCAGTTAAGGGAGTTTATTGCCAAGGTTCATATTTACAGATCGGAATATCTAAACTCGCCTATCGAAGTAACAACGCTACAGAAAGCGATGGTTTTTTATTGGTGGTTTCAGTTTGTCAACCGGGATAAGCCACGAATTATTGATAAACTGAATTCTCATACAATCACCGCTCACAAACAAAGTGTATTTCTTTGCAATGATGAAATAGTTTATGCGACGATAAGACCAGTTTTTGTTGCACGTATAAATAAACCTTGCCATACATTTTCTGAAGGCTGAAGTGATGCAGGGACGGTGGTTTCATATAACTTTAGAAGACCTGAAAATACGAAGCGAAACAAACATACAGGCTAAAATCCGTGACATATACAAAAGCCAGTCATGAGTGTGGGGACAGAAATAAATGTGGATAAGTTTAAATCACTGTTTTTGAAGAGTAGCTAACAGGACGGAAGGGTCTTCACAAAGACATCACTGGTCAAATAGAAACAAATATAGAAAATTCGGAAGACGGTGAAGGGGTGAGAAGTATAAAATATCCATTGAAAATATGTGTGAATTTTAGGAAAAAGTAACAAGGTCCACCAACTTCTGAAATTTTCGCGAAAATTTACTCAAGTGTGGTTTTTTCCTCAGGATTCTCTCACAATTTTTATGTAACCGGGATTTTGTCCCGAAATTCACCATGAATGGTAGCTTGGGGTGTAAAATGTGTATAAAATATTATGAATCTTCATTGGGGGGGTGTAGAAATCTGAGATTCTTTAAATTATTGAGGTTAGAGTTTAGGTTGAATTAAATCAAAAATGATATCAGTCGGACAGAAAAGTAATAGCATCGAAAATCAACCAGCTGACTGGATATGACAACAACCAATTATCGGAGATTATCAGAAATCTTACACATTAATGGAGTAAAACTCATAAAACCTATATATCAAATAGGATAAATGAGGGTCTGATTTCTCTAATATACATAATAATTCGAGGAGACCGTGACAACTGTTCCCTAATAGTTAACTATTAGGGGAGAGTAGTATATATGTACATATGTAAACCATCAATTTGATGGATTAAACATATGAACGAAGCTTGAAAACTTAGTGGGTTAAATTTAACACACCTGGCATCAATTTTATATCTTTTACTACCGTTACTTAATTGCGAACTCAAACCTTCCAAGCCAAATTGGTCTAAAAGTTTCATCTTCCGACAACAAATTGAGCTCCACAGATCATAAGGCTACAAAGAAATTTCAGTATCCAATATTTACTTGGTGGTAGTACAAGTGTTTGCTATCAAATCTTGATGTTGTAGCGGTAAATAAATCCCCAAAATAAATAGCTCTAAGTTTTCAACATTCGATGCTGACCACATGTTTTAGAGGACTCATCTAGCTGAAGGCGCTCGGTCAGGCATCCGCACCAGATCACGTATGGTAACGCCGTGCTCAACATCAACCGCAATCGCTAGCCAGATTAGATCAGAGAATTCCGATATATTGGTCAACGCCAAATATACTCTTCCGATCTCCTCTACTCTGTCTTTTGATTTCTCTGGGTGATTACGAATTATATTAGGTGTTACTGGTAGAAGCGTTGTCAAACACTGAATACCTGTGCCATCCTCATTGGTGAGACCGATGTGACCTGGTACACCTAATTGCAACTGTGAGTCTGTTCCTTTTTGGGATTTTTATATATTATTGCCTTATTCCTTATTTTTTATACATTGTGATATTTTTTCGTGTTTTTTCTTGGATATATTTATATTTTCCCCTTGTTCATTATCGTACTTCATATTTCATCATTACTGAACAGACACCCAAAGTAATCAAGCTTAAGACTTTGTCCCCGCCTTCGTTTCAACTGATGCCTTTCTGGTCCGACAACATCGAAGCCTGGTTCTGTTACGCAGAAGCCGACTTCCACGAGCATGGCGTGATCGACACACGTGCACAATTCCTCTCAGTAGTCAAGGCACTACCGCGCGAATTCAACAGGTACTTAACACCTAGTATGTTTACTAGTGATGTTTCTGAACCTTACGAAACCTTAAAACGTTCGATTCTTAAACGAGGAGACCTAACCGATCGACAAAGATTAGATCAACTCTTCAATAACATCGACCTGCAACACGGTTCTGCGACGGACATGTTGCAAAGGATGAGAGAGGTAATAGGCCCAAGAACTTTCGACGAAGGTCTATTCAAACAACTTTTCTTGTCTAAACTTCCCCAACAGGTGCAAGCGGTTGTGGTCACGTTTCAGAAAAACGCCTTAGACGAACTAGCTGCATCTGCCGACCGCATTTTAGAAATTACGAAATCTACTACCGAGGTATTTTCAGTCAAAGAAAAGCCTCAAATGACTCAAAATGACATAACCGATTTATGTCATACACTCACGCGTTATCTTAGTCTTCGTACCGACTGTAAGAGATCGTGCACCCCTCGTAGAAGCATTTCACGTAAGCGATCTGTCTCTAGACCACGAGAGACAGATAAACCCGACTGGTGCTGGTATCACAACCAGTGTGGAAAGTCTTCCAGAAATTGCAGAAAACCCTGCAATTTTCCCATCTCAAAACCGACTGACTCGAAAAACAACTCGGGAAACTTTCAAGCCAGCACGCGTTAACGGCAACCGTAGCCGGCGAACATAGCCGTCTGTTGTACGTCACAGATGTGACAACGAGAGTTCGCTACCTCGTCGACACTGGCGCAGAAGTTAGCGTTCTCCAGCGAATTCCAACGACCGACCTGACGAATCGGCTGTAAACTTACAGGTGGCAAACGGAAAACCGATCGCTACGTATGGCAAAAGATACGTTTAACTTAACGTGGGTTTACGCAAACCCATTCACTGGATCTTCGTTGTTGCAGACGTTTCTGTGCCAATCATTGGTATGGATCTTCTACAACACCATAATCTGATCACCGACACGCGCAAACGGAGGCTAGTAGACGGAAACACTAATTTATCCGTTTGCGTAACTTCTTTTTCTGGTTGCAAATTATCCCCAGTCACAATCGAGCATACGATAGACCCACTTTATCAACCGCTACTCGATAAGTATCCTGGGATTCATCAAACTCAACCGAAATTACCGTGTGTAACCAGCAATGTTACACATCACATCACGACTACAGGACCACCTGTATTCTCTAAAGCACGATGACCAGCTCCCGAAAAGCTGAGGTTGGCGAAAAACGAGTTCGATCACATGATAGACTTAGGGGTTATACGACCATCAAATAGCCCATATGCATCTCCGTTGCACATGGTCCCTAAAAAGGACAGCAACGATTCGCGTCCAACTGGTGACTATCGGCGATTGAACGCGAAAACCATTCCCGATCGTTACCCGTTGCCTCACATTCACGATTTGACAGCTACCTTGAAAGGTACAACTGTCTTTTCGAAAATCGACTTGGTTAAAGCGTATACCAAATCCCTATAGCTACTGACGACATACCGAAAACAGCTATCATAACTCCCTTCGGACTCTATGAATTTTTGCGAATGCCTTTCGGTCTAAGGAATGCTGCTCAAACATTCCAAAGATTCATAGACGACGTATTTCGAGGTCTCAACTTCGTACACGCGTATGTTGATGACTGTCTAATCGCAAGTCCGGACAGAGAAACACATCTCAAGCATCTGGATCTTGTTTTTGAACGGTTACAAAAACATGGCATTACTGTAAACGTTCAGAAATGCCAAATTGGAACCGACTCGTTAAACTTTCTGGGACATACTATCGATGCTCAAGGTATCCGACCCCTTAGAACCAAAGTGGCGGCCATTCTGGATTACCCAGAGCCGACCAACGTCAAGCAATTACGCACGTTTAACGGCCTCGTAAGTTTCTATAGATGATTCATACCTAAATGCGCTTTACTCATGAAACCTCTTACCGACCAACTTCGTGGAAATGCAAAATCCATCATTCTGGATGACGCCGCACGAAAAGCATTCTCCACAGTTAAGGAACTGATCGCTAAAGCAACAATGCTTGCACATCAGGACACTAAAGCACACATTAGCATCTCAGTAGACTCATCCGACTCAGCAATCGCAAGAGTCTTACAACAATGGGTTATCAACTCCTGGCAACCATTGGGATTTTTCTCTAGACGGTTGCTAGACACCGAATCGAGGTACAGCACATTCGGTAGGGAACTCCTAGCTATGTATTGTGCCATACGACATTTTCAACACTACATCGAAGGTCGTGAATTCACTCTTTTCACCGACCATAAACCACTCACCTTCTCTATAAGCTCTACTTCAGACAAGTACTCTCCCCGTGAGTCTCGACAACTGGACTACATTTCGCAGTTTACTTCAGACATTCAACACATCTCTGGAGCAAACAATGTAGTTGCAGACGCCTTATCTCGCATAACTTCCTTGAACAGTTTCCAAGGAATCGACCTTCTTAAACTCTCCGAGCTTCAAAAAGAAGACAGTGATCTTCAGCACGAGTTATCGTCTACAACCCTAAAACTACGCATCAACCAGATGGGAACAGGTAAGGAAACCTTACTTTGTGACACATCTACAGGTAGGGATCGCCCAATCGTGCCGAAACATTATCGACTCAATGTCTTCAAAACATTGCACAAACTTTCTCATCCAGGTGTTCGTGCAACCACCAAGCTTATAGCAGAACGGTTTTGCTGGCCTGGCATGAATAAAGACGTGAGGGAGTGGGCACGCTCCTGTGTAAGATGCCAAAAATCTAAGGTTACCAGACACAATAAATGTCCCTTAGGCTCATTTAAAACTCCCGATGCTCGTTTCGACCATGTTCATCTGCATTTGGTAGGACCTTTGCCAGATTCATATGGATACTCTTTCCTTTTAACCTACGTAGACCGTTTCACTCGATGGCCAGAAGCAGTACCTATCAAGGACATCACTGCTGAAACAGGGGCTCGCGCCTTCGTCGAACGATGGGTAGCAAACTTCGGCTGCCGTTCAACCATCACTACAGACCGCGGACGCCAGTTTGAATATGAACTTTTCCGTCGTCTGACCACACTTTTAGGAATCACTCGATTCCGAACGACCGCCTACCATCCACAAGCAAACGGGTTGGTAGAACGTTTTCACCAACAACTAAAAGCTTCACTATCAGCTGCAAACGTTTCATAGTGGACCGACGCTCTTTCACTTGTCTTATTAGGTATTCGCAATGCAGTGAAAGCTGACATTGGATACACTGCGTCTCAACTCGTTTATGGAACGACACTTCGACTTCCAGGAGAATTCGTGGATCCTTCATCCTTTTGATGAACATGGATCTAACCTCCTACACGAACAGGCTTACAAACACAATGCACTCAGTTAAATCTGCTTCCACACGACCTCAATCAACCGATGTTTTCGTTCAACCTGACTTACGATATAGTACACACGTTTTCGTTCGTCGAGACTCTCATCGACGACCATTCGAATCAGCATACGAAGGACCCTTCAAAATTCTTCAACGTGAATCTAAGTACTATATAGTCGATAAGAACGGAACCAACGATAGCATCAGCATCGATCGCTTAAAAGCAGCGTATTTAGAAGGAAATCCTATTCACGTCGACTTTCCTTCGGTACAATCGCACAACGCGACTCCTACACTCGAAATTCCTAAACCGACAAGCAACACTAGCGATGATACTTCGAAGGTATCTGAAAATTTACCTAAAACGACGCGTTTGGAAAGAAGAGTAAGATTTCCAGAACATTTAAACGACTACTGCACGTAAGGCACTACTCGACTTTTTATATTATCCCGATCTTTCTTTTTAACGATATATAATTTTTTTTAAAAAAAGACAATTTTATTATGCCTATATATTTATATTTTTATTAAAAAAACAAAACAAAACAAAACATAAAAAACATTTTTTTAACGCTATTACGTGTGGTTGAGTATATTTTCCATTTTTTCGCCGACATTGTGTTTTTACACACATACGAGTGTATTTCGACATGCAATTACACTTTCTTTTTTCTTTTCCAGGACGGCTGGAAAAGAACGATGCAGCTTACGAGGAGTCGAAATTTTCGTTGTAACTCTTTCTTTTTTTACTATGTTGTACCTCGGTCCCATATAGTAAGGAAAGACGACCAGACGCTGCTACACTTAGTAAGCCATCAGAAGAGTGTTTACCAACGACAAACTCAAGGGTTTAAACTTCTGGCTGGCCACGTCTTAGGGTCGTCACTGCCCCACTAGGGGAGGAGTGATCTGTAGCGGTAAATAAATCCCCAAAATAAATAGCTCTAAGTTTTCAACATTCGATGCTGACCACATGTTTTAGAGGACTCATCTAGCTGAAGGCGCTCGGTCAGGCATCCGCACCAGATCACGTATGGTAACGCCGTGCTCAACATCAACCGCAATCGCTAGCCAGATTAGATCAGAGAATTCCGATATATTGGTCAACGCCAAATATACTCTTCCGATCTCCTCTACTCTGTCTTTTGATTTCTCTGGGTGATTACGAATTATATTAGGTGTTACTGGTAGAAGCGTTGTCAAACACTGAATACCTGTGTCATTTTCAAGCAAATAAAACAAAGTAGCATTAGATTCAAAAATTTATTCAAGAACTTTAATTAAGAGTAGAATATCAAACAAAGGTTTAAACCAAGTTCCCGTTTAAAATTTGTATTGGTAATTTTAAGCCGCAGTTTTTGTTGTTTTTTTCCAAACGAAAGAGTAAAAGACGTCAAAAAATACTGGAAGTGGTTGTGAGACTAAAATGAACGTCCAGCATCCTTTTTATAATCTGCTGTTCGTTGCGTCTCCCGTAAACAGTTCCATAGGGCCATAGTTCCAAGGGCGAAAAAGTTCTTAGAATCTGTGAAGGCTCACTCCTGTTGCATTCTAAGTAAAAAAAATAGTGATGAATTTAGTCAGAAATGTGTTATAGATAAGTAACTAAATTACATGTTTTTTAGCAAAGAATTTATGCAGTTGGGATTTACCTTGAGTTCATGAATATTATATAAGTTCAGCTATTATTACTTGTGCAGAGCATAACATGGGCTTAGGACCGTATTGCAATGCTTTTATTATTTTGCTCCCATTTAAGTATTCCTATGCATCTGCGTCTAGTTTAACAGGAAGACATACAAGCAGAGTTAGTGTCAGATAAACTAAAAGTCCCAGTTGTCAAAAAGATTCTTAACATTTGTCCACAGCCAGCTGCATTTAATTGAGTCATAGAACACTCATCTTCTAACACTGTATACTGCTGTTTTGCGGGCAACTAAAAGCTCAGACGCTTAGCTATCTTGCTACCGATGTTATTGCTGGGGAAATTCGTTTAATGACAGTGATCATGAAATATAGTCAGTGATAGATGTACAGTCTAGAAATAAACAACAAACATACTTATCGCTATCTTATAATGTATGACAGCAACAGCATCAAATGCATGTTTTTTCTTATTTTTAGACAGATTGATCTGAATCGGTATACTCATTAGAAACAGGCAGCTCTACTTATTAAACTGATCTGTTTCGTTACAGGCTTCAAGCACTATACTTAGGTATACCATAATTCTTTCGACTAAACTGAATTATACGACAACCAAGAATACTAAACTAAGCAAGTGTCATAGTTATTGTTTCATTTGCACAGACATGTTGCTCAAAGTAGTTAAATGGGCATAATTAAGCCGATAAAACCAAAACACGAAATATGGGCTAGTTGAACTTACCTAACAGAAGACGAAGGATATATATATATATATATATATTGCTTTCCGACTGAAGACAACAGTCAGTTGTTCGTAGAAACATAGTTTATAGTACAACAAACCTTTCTTCAGTAAAATTATGCACTGATGGTCTATCTGGAAACAATCAACTATGTGATTACACTCACTACGACTTTGGATAAAATCCCAGAATGCAGTGAAGGTATAGTGTAAGGCAGTCAGACGTGACAAACAAAAATTAAAAACAGAGAAAACTTAACAACATAATAGAGTTATTTAATTAAAAATACATTATGAAATGACAAAATCTGTGGTTGCTTGAACTCACAGATGACCCTATGCGATACATTAAGTTTACATGGTTGCGTTGCGGATAAATTCACCCGTCATTTATAGGTTTTTGTTGTTTTTAGAATAAAATCTGAGCTCATAACCGAGTGATACTGGTGTATTATGCCAAAAATCATAAGAAACAGGAGTTTTACCTTTCATTCTCTACATAACAAGGATTGGATATTACCATTGATTGCCCGCGCCTTTTAGAGGTGGTGCTATGTGTCTGTCAGATGTTCTACGGAAACATGTTTTGTCAAACATGGAGTTGGTTAGTTTTTATAGTATCATTCAAGATGAATCTTACTTATTTTGGGTGTTTATAAATGATCATGTAGTGTTACTTGTGAGCAATCTTGTCAAACGTCCAATCTCTCAAATGTGGGGAAATTTTCTATCCGTTTTGAGGAAATTTCGCGGAAGCCGCTATAGAAAATCTTAGAAAAATAGCAGGAAACTCTTAAAATTTTGCAGATTCACCCAAAATAAGGAGATTGGGTAGTGATTAGTAGCTGTTGACTACTGGGATAAGTTCCATAATTTTATTGATTATTCCAGAGAAAGATGGACATATTATTCATTCTCAATCCAGGAGATTGGATCGATGGACAGAACACTTTAGGGATCAATTCAACTGGCCTTTAGCCACACTTCTGTTTCCCACGATATCCAGTCGATCTGAATGGCAAGTTAATGTAGGTCCTCCGTCCCTTTACGAAGTTGAAAAAGCCGTAGGAAATCTGAAACGAGGGAGAGCACCAGGCCCTGACAGGTTTACTCCTGAGATTTTTAAGGATGGTGGTCCAGTATTAGCAATGAGATTAACCGAGGTCTTAGGTAGAATTGGGGAACTGGACGTAATCCCATCTGACTGGTCTCAATCACTGATTGTGCCAGTCTAAAAGAAAGGACAAAAGTCCTCTTGTGACAATCAAAGAGGCATCAGTTTGACCAATATAGTGTCTAAAATATTAGCTTCAATAATACTTCGACGCCTAATCAAAGCTCGTAAAAAGCAGATTAGAGAAAACCAGGCTGGTTTTCGACCTGGACGTGGTTGTATAGATCAGATATTCACACTACGTCAGGTTCTAGAACACAGACACACATTCAGACGCCCCACAATGGTATTATTTCTCGAACTTAAGGCGGCATTCGACTCTGTTGATCGTGAGGTTCTATGGCAGTGTTTGTCACTGAAAGGAGTACCAAAGAAGTACATTAACCTTATAAAGGTTCTCCACTCGAACACTACTGGTAGAGTAAGAGCTTATGGCGAACTGTCATCAGAATTGGTTACCTCAAGTGGTGTTCGTCAGGGCTGTCCACTCTCCCCATCCTTGTTCAACTTTGTGGTCGACGTACTTTTAGAGATAACACTTTCCTCGTCTAGATTTCCAGGGGTTGAACTTCTACCGGGAGATTCACTTGTTGACTTGGAATATGCTGACGACATAGTTCTATTTGGTGAAGACGCTGACAAAATGCAGTCTTATGACCACTCTAAGCAACAATGCAAGCATGTTCGGGATGCGATTCTCTCCCTCGAAATGCAAAATGTTGCTTCAGGATTGGATTACATCGACACCCGAACTAGTGATAGGGAGTGAAGTAGTTGAGTGTGTCGACCGCTTCACTTATCTTGGAAGTCTCATCAGCCCTTGTGGTTTAGTGTGTGACGAAATCTCAGCACGGATACAGAAGGCTCGACTAGCTTTTGCCAACTTGCGTCATTTATGGCGTAGGTGGTATATCCGTCTACCAACCAAAGGACGGGTTCGCTGCGCAGCAGTGTGTTCCGTCCTACTTTATAGCTGTGAAACGTGGCCTGTAAGAGTCAGAGATATTCGTAGGCTACTAGTATTTGATCATAGGTGTCTTCGAAACATTGCTCGTATATCATAGGACCATCGAGTAAGTAACACAGTTGTTAGGAAACGGGTACTAGGTAAGGATGGCAAATCAATTGATGAAGTAGTGAAACTTCATCAGTTGAGATGGCTGGGACACGTGTTACGTATGCCCAACGACCGACTGCCTCGACGTGCTATGTTCAGTGGTATAGGAGTAGGTTGGAAGAAAGCTAGGGGCGGCCAAACCAAAACATGGCACAAGTCCATGAAGTCACTGACAAGTGAACTGAGTCATGTTGGTAGGTGTAGACTACCTGGTTTGGGACCACGAGATGATAGCAACCGATGGTTAGAGACGTTGAATGACATGGCTCAAAATCGTTTGCAATGGCGCAGGTGCATCCACTCTCTGTGTTCTCTCAAATTCTAATCTTCTGAATTCTTCATGTCCCTTTTTCCTCTTTCCAAATTTATTTCACTGGATTATACTCTTTAAATAACATCTCCAAACCCTAATCTTCCCGATTACTTCTTATACTCTTGCTACCTCTACCACTATGGGATTTGAATCGACAACTGCATCTCTGTGCTAATATGGTGTGGCAACTCGAACTGATGTACGTACGTACGAAGTTCTACGTTGTTACTGACTGACTGACACCGTGGGAGGGTTCTTCTACAGGTACCTGAAAAGGAAATTATGTTAGAGCTGATCTTAACGGCCTGAGAAAATGACCGCAGTGCTCAAGGGACAAGGTCTGTCACACGACCTTTTTGTGTGTACAGTGAGACCAATTTATGAACGACCTTTGAGCGACACTAGAGTGTCCACCTAATAACTAGGACCAAACGAGGGTTATAAACCAGTGTATGGAATTAGAATTGTGATTTACAGTTGACGGTTAGGGTTAGAAATTACATTTACTCAAAGACCTCTTATCATATACCTGATTGGTTCCTCCATAAATCATAGTTTCCGCTGTGGGTACTTTTTGTGTTAACTCCGTACTTCCTGAGACCTTGTTGACGGATATGGATATCCATGGGATAAGGCGAGGTATGTATTTCTAGGGTCGACCTTTTCTAACCTCCAGCCTTCCCTTGTGAGGAGGCAGCATCGCTGTTATGCTGGTTGTCTGAGGGAAACACCTTACTGCCGTCACACCTCTGTACAGTCAGCAGTCCGACTTTGCCATCGGACCTTGAGTTTACTGCTCTTATTCTTAACGTTCGTCAACCGACCTTGAGGAACAATCTTTCCAGCCAGTATAGCCCAATCGGTCTATCACGATAGGCAAGCTCGACCACTACGTCAAAGTGGTAGCAACGGTCGGGTCATAACTGATCATGTGAGTTAATGCTCTCCAGTAACATCAAATTCGTTTTATTGGGAACATTAACTTTTGTCTAACATGTAGTTTCGTAAACGTCTCTTCGCCATAGATAGTAAGATGAATTTCGATTCCATCAAATATATCCCTATTATTTACATTATAAAAACCAAGTATAGTTTTCTGAGCTGATTTGAGAATATGAGCTTCACGATAGTTCCAACTGATACGAAATACCGTGGTTGGACGACGACAGATAAAATGTCACAATGAATTCAACACATTATAGACTTAGTCTGAATTAAAGAGAAATAATCATGCATCCAATATCTATTTAGGTGACATTCATTTGATAATTTTGAGCAGTGGTTTACAGTGTATTTATCACTCATCAACCTAACCCATTTATTTACATTTATGAACATGTATTGTATTTATTATCATTAACACCAAAGCTCGCCAAACCAAATTGACCAGGTTTTGTACACTTGAACTTGAAAGTTCACCGATAAGGACTTTCCGTTGGTTAATAACCGTCCAGTTCCACTAATTATTCAGGATAATGTAACACTAGCAGTGGTTAGTAAGATCAAGTTTAAGAAGAGTTGTTTTGCACCTAAATCAGGGAAATTCTGTAGTGGTTTCACACTGCTGTAAAACCCATGCTCATAGTTGTAGCTCACCAATATTTCTGCTCCCAACTACTGAGTGTCATGCTTCAGTCCGTCTTATCCACTTGCGTATTATCCCTTCATAGTTTTAGTATTGATTGTCTGAATCATAGTACTTAAAATTTCGAATAGTTGGTGGTTACATTCTGTCTTAAATGTCATAATTTAGGCTTAGGACAGAGTAAGGTAAGCGTCTTCTTTTTTTAATCAGTTGGATTTTAAAGTAGCAATTTTACGTGATCAGTGAACTCAATATTAATATGGTTAGTTTGTAATGTTCATACAATCTTCAGTAAATAATTCTTGTTTTTGTCGTACCTAGTCTTCCGAAGTTTCTTTCACAAATTACAATCTACGATTTAGTAATACAAAATAGTTTGAGCATGAAATGGATTGTTTATGACGATAAAACGGCAAATTTGCCGTCACGACAAACGGAAAAATGAATTAGTGACGCTTCACAACTTACTTACAATAGGTCTAGAAACGTTAGAAATAGACTACCTAACTAAACATAATATGTAGAAGGTATAAGTTGATAGTAAGGTGACAAGTGTATTTTTAATGGTAAAAAACAACAGCTCAAATCAATGTGTAAACATAGGTAGTTCAAAGCTCAGAAAAATAAACGTTAAAATCACTCAATGTGAATCGTGCAGATAATCAAATAGTAATGAATCTTACGAAAGGAACTAAAAGGGAACAAACGAGCATAGGATAATCTATTCCATGGTTACTGTTTACTCAAATATGCACGTAAACATTACGGTATATTAGAGCAAAGCCCGATGAAAATCTAGTCGAAAACAATTTTGTTTGCTTATATGTATTACAACTCATTATATTCTTATAAGCCCCCAAATGCCCTGGTGCGGCCGAGAGTGGGGAGAGTCCGCTCTCCCTCTCGAAATGCTCTCACATGGCCACGCGTATATAGCCTCTGCCAGGGAAGTCCTACTCACTGCATTTTCATGGCGGGGTGTTGTTTACGAAAATGAGAAGACGAAAAGCGAATGTCTGGCGCTTTAACCGGATTCCAAACCAATGGTGCACATGGGCTCCATTATCCTGAGGGAACAAATGGCGTATGAACCAAATGTTGGTCACCGGCTTCCATGGGACTGAATCTCCTTTCGAAGCTCCACTGCCTTGTGGATCAAACCTTTAGGTCGAAGGCTCGGGTAGTGGCCCCCTAAGAAAACCACCTGCTTCAGTTTGGGCATCCGGGCCGTATCACAGCCCTCATACATATCGAATGAGATTTGTGTGACGCATCTGTATTTGGTGCCTCCTTGTACCAATATCTATGTGTTAAAAAATTAAATAAAATATTCTTATAAATTAATTTATAATAACTACCATAATTATATATCTTGAGAGATTTTTCCTGTTTATTGGTAAATTTTACAGCAGCAGTACTTAACAGCATGTTATTGGGCCGACAAACTTGTTTGTCTAGAAAGATGTATGGAATAATCTCAAATTCATTCAATAAACTAATTTAGATCGTTCAGAAGATGTATTACTTTATGCCAAAGCCCTGTATTATAGTCGACAATATCATCGTGCAATAGCTTTAATTCAAAATTGTAAGGAGTTAAAAGTACGTTAACTGGGATATTTAAAAAACAACCTAGCAATCACTTGTTTGTCGTTATTTCATTGCCCAGTGTTATTACGCTTGCTCAGAATACAAAAAGGCTCTTGAATTTCTCGAACAGTCTGATTGTAATTCTATCGATTTCAACTCCAATGTAACGTCACTGGTCGCTGGTTCGTTATCTAAACAACTATGTATATCAACAGACTGTCAGAATGCTGTAAATGATGATTCCACAAAACAATCGAATACTGTATCAGACAGTTTAATAAGCGGTTTTAGTACAGAACAAGTAGTTTACTATTCGTTGAATATCCTATCTTGATATTTCTTAGCTTCATAGTAGTATTGCATTATTGAAGGGAAAGTTATATGAATTAATGGAAAACAGATCTTTGGCAACGCAATTTTATAAAGAAGCTTTACTTCTTGACGTAACATGTTATGAAGCCTTCGAAAAACTTGTACACTTTCAATCAATTAGCTCAGAGGAAGGTGAGTAATGATAGTAATAATTGGGGTTCTATTTATCTGGTAACAGAATCTGCTTTACTAACCGAATTGAATTTCACTGATCATCTCAATCCGTTGATGAGCAAATTGGCTGAATTTCTTTACAAAGATAAACTAAACAAGGTAATTGTTTGTATAATTGTTTTTGAAAATATTTCTTTGTCTAAAAGAATTCAGTATCAGAAACTAAGGTACCTGGTGAATTTGACTCATTGACCAATAATGTCGACGTTATTGTTAATAAAGCTGGACGTATGTTAGATGTTTGTCGATTTCAGGAATGCTACGATATTACATCCAGGTATAAAACAAATAAGAACAGTAATATAACATCAATATTTTTTCTTTCTTTAGATTAATGCAATCAGATCCATATAATCTTGCATGTTTGCCAATTCATATTTCTGTTTTAAAAGAATTAGAAAAAGCAAATGGTATCTACATGATTTTTCATAGACTTTTATAGTTTTACTTCTAAAGAGTTATTCAAAGTATCTCATAAACTTATGGATGTGTATCCGTCAAGTGCAGTAAGTTAGCTTTGATATTCGAGATGGATTTCTTTTTTATAGCTTGCCTGGTTTGCGGTGGGTTGTTATTATCTGTGCATTAAGAAGAATGAACTTGCAAGACGACATCTTGTGTAAGTAATTGCTCAGAAATTGAATTATTATACTATATGAATTGCTTAATTTTTACTTATGAATGACTGTTTCGATATGTCATTTAATTTTTAGGAAGGCTTCACAATTAGATAGAAGATATGGTCCTATATGGCTTACACTTGGGCATGCATTTGCTGCTGATGGTGAACATGATCAAGCTATTGCTTCCTATTGTACAGCTGCTCAAGTTATTCGAGGGTAGGTTTAAATTAAGAATACATTGAAAGTTTTTCATTTCTTTACAACAATAAGTCAGATCTAAGTGGGCAGAACATAATTCGACTTCTTAAATTATCGTTTACCATAACGTTATGACTTATTTTCTGAGACTCCGCTAATATCCACTTTGGAAACGGTACGTCTAGTAGGGATTTAATGCATATCATGCATTTATTACAATTATATTGTAAACTTTTTGAAGCTATTGTACGTGGACTGTGCTCATTTTTTACATGGTGATCACTAATCGTAAACTTGATCATTTGTAATATCTCATTCTTCATCTGAATCTATCAAAAGACCTGTTCATGGAGTTTTAAAGCAATGATATAATCAGCATACATACACCCATCCTTTTTGCAACGATACTTGTGAAAAATGTTATCTCTCGGTAGTACAAAATTACGTGGCATCTAAGTAAGTCATCCAATTCAGCATCATAAATTCTTCATCACTCCGATAGCCGTGATCTATTACTAATACATAACTTTCCGGAAGGCCAGATTCTTGTTTGTTTTATAAACTTTATATCTCAGAACCATGGAGTATCACAATACGATAACCATTAGAGTAACTTGAGATTATATATGAATCAAATAGCCATCTGTTCTTTCAGTTCTTCAAATGAACAAATTACTACATACGAAAATTGTTGTTTATTTTAGACTTGAATTCGATTCCTTCGTTCTTAACAAACTGCTGACTCTTTTTGGTGATATTATAAAATATGCCTGTTAGATTGTAGCCGTCAATAATTGCTCGTTTCCGGGCCAGATTTCAATAGATAGAATGGTCTGATTTTGGTGATATCTCGTTATTTCTCATGTTGTAACACACAGCTTTTAGAATATGTAACAAAACGTTGTGATATGATACAACTGAATAAGCTAATCATTTTAAAAAACCTAGTAGTTGAACGTATTTGTAAACTTATAGATAAAATTTGAGAACTTGTAGTTCAGTCCTGGTTGAAAATGTACAGCTATGGAATCGCAGGAAGTTTTTAGTGTTATTGGAACTCAGGCTTTCTTTACATCTTCACGTTTTAGACGATGAAGCACAGCACTGTCAAACCTCCGTTAGCGAAAGTTGTTCTGAAGCCTTATAGCTCCTTAGTCAAAGGTGAATTTTTAACAGTAATTGTGACAAAAAATCGAACAACTTCACTACCCGTTGTTAGTGCGTTTGTAATTAAAGTTGCTTCTATAATAATTAAAAATCTCAATCTGTATGAGTTATTCGTAATAGTAATCACTGTTGTTCGTTTTCTTTTATCTTGACGCTGTATAGTTCGCATATTCCTATTATGTATATTGGTATTGAATACAGTGCTAGCAATAATCGCAATCTAGCTGAACGATTTCTTAATCAAGCCTATTTAATTAGTCCAAGTGATCCTTTTGTTTTACATGAACTGGGCACATTGGCTTTTGAATCACAAAAGTAAGCAAACTTTGTGCGTGAATTATGTTTATTTTTTTGTATTACTTCTATCGTCAACGTTTTTGATATCAATTCTATTGAATCAATCACCATGTTATGGCACATGAATTTCTTCTTTCTCAACCAAGCGTCATAGATTTTCTGGGCTAGCATTGGTAACCGATGCATAAAGTGTACAATTATGATTTTGAATTGTATTGACTATCTCAGGCACTGGAGACGATTTATATTGAACTGTTTGTCACATCTGTTGTTGAATATGTCCCTTCATCTGTGTTCAACTGTCGCGTGATCTATTGTTTGTCGCCCTTTAAAATCTAAGGTTGCAAGTCTTGAGTCTATAATCATTTTTCCTTTATAGTTGTTCCAATAGCCTTAAATGACTCCATATTCCTAAGTGCACATAAGTAAGCAGTTTTATATCAATAGGATATCATTATACTCTGACAACATAAACATATTTGGAAAATAGTAGGTGAGTAATAGTCTCAACTGTTCGAGATCGCTAACTCTTCGTTCCAGCTTTTTGCATAGAATATTCATTTAATATTTAAACTATAAGTGGATTTAATTAATCTTCTTTATCAGAATAGAGGGTTGTGGAGATTGTAGTAATTCGACAGTTGGGTTCATGAGTCGATTTAAACTAGACCACCATTGAAAACCTGGAGGCGCTGAACGTCTGTTTCTTCTTAGTTTAGTTAAAGTCTTAATAAAATCTTAATAATAAATGTAAAAACAAAATATATTCAGTATTTAGGTGATATATCATAAGTGGCAGTGAGTTATTGAATCAATAATCTAAAGCTGGATAGTTTAGCTTTTGTCATTGTGCATGTTTGTCGAATAGAACAAATCTGTCCGTTAAAAAAGTGTTTGTCCTAAATAATTAGCTTCTTTTTAAAGCCAATGGTAATACTACTGTTTGTACTTAAGCTGTTCAGCTTAAAGGGCATAATCGTATCTAAAGGGATTTGGTTTAATTTTATTTATTCCCTTAAATGTGTTGGGTTTTCTTAATTCACTTGATGGCGTAACAGTCAACATATTAGTTTGTGATGTATCTTCATGTAACCCTTTGATGAAAAATATATATTTACATAATTCAAAAAAAATGATTAGTGTAACTCGTCAATTACTAGTTTATATTCTCGACTGTTAGCCACGTTTATTGGAAGAGCAGGGCTACAGGTTACTATTTAAGTGTCTAAACCTAAACAATTGGACAGGGGATTTTAGTCAGTCAGCTACAACGTAGGACCAGGATCATATATGCAGCGGTCCAAGTTGCCATACCTCATCAGCACAGCAAGATAAACACCAAATCCATAGAAGTAATTACTTCAGTGGTAGTAAGGTATAAAAAAGATTAAAACTAACTAACGTTATTCCCAGCAGTAGGTATATGATGGAACTAAACAGAAATGGAGATGAAAACACGAAGTTCAGCGAAGGGATCTCTTTTCAATGAATTTATTATCAAGCTGTACAATCGTATATATATGAAAATTTTGTTTTTGTACAAGTACTAATTCCGTGAGGATATGTGGACACAGTTAACAAAAAAGGCTGTAACACTAGATTACGTAATACAAATAATAACAATAGATTTAGTAAATATAATAAGATGATTAAAATGTTTTTGATATAATAATTAAAGGTCATAGAGGTGTAAAAAATAAATAAGGTGATATGATGAGTATTTACGAATAAAACAATGGGAATATAAGACATAAGTAAAGGGGGGAATGCAGTAATCATAATAATAATAATAACAATAATAATAATAATAATAATAATAATAATAATAATAATAATAGGATAATCAAAATAATTAAGGCCAAGGTAACGATAAGACGTACCTTTTTGTACACATAGTTCTGGTTTAAGCTCCTGGATGGTAAGAGCTTCGGCTATTTTTAAGAGTTGGCTACGAAGAAATCTGGGTAGATTTGAACGAATCATATAAACAACCTTAAAATCAATTTGTGGATCTGTAGAATGGTTATAGTCGATTGGGTGTTCCAGTATAGAACTCCTAACTGCTTTCCTTTCACCCTTATAGAACCAAGCTGGGATATATTCCCGTATCCGAGTTAAAAGCGAGCGCTGGCTACGGCCAATGTACCTTGCTCCACAAGAGCAGGTGAACTGGTAGATGCACATGGAGGCGACCAAACGCGGAAGCTTATCTTTTATGGATAAAGAAAATAAGTTCCTACTAGTGAAGGTTATTCGCAGTTTTGCCGCGTTAAATGTTATTCTAATAGTTGTTGTTAGACTATTTTTGATAACGTCTGATGTTCGACCACCTTTTAATTCCAGACTTATATAAAGGCTTTTCTTCGGAACGGAACAACTAGATTTCTTGTCGTAACTACTTCTATTCATATTCTTTTCTATGAACCGTTCCGGGTAACTATTTTCCGTCAAGGAATGCGTGTTCTTCGTTAATGCATTGCGTAATGCATATCTGATGTATTCGATAACATAAAGAATGGATAAGGTTTCTCTTCCTACTTAACGGAAATCAGCTACAGAAGTTGGTTAGCTGGTCATTCCATGTTTGTTTTCTAAAGATGGATTTATTTTAAAGAACCATTACTCTTTCTCATCAGACGTACATCGAGAAAAGGAATTGATTGGTCTCGTTTCTTTTCTAAGGTGAAGTCTATGGAAAGGTGGCATGAGTTAAAGGTATGTAGAATATCATCTACATCAATATTATTGTCACAAACGACAAACGTGTCGTCCATGTATCTCACTTATAGGTGGAATCGATTGATCATTGAACGGAGTTGGTCGTTTTCTACTTTTGTCATGAAACAGTCTGCTAAAATTGGACCCAGCGGAGACCCCATTGCGATCTCATCCCTTTGTCTATATATTTCATTATTGAAACTGAACTGGACATTAAAACTACAGCATAACAATAGTTCTTCCAAGTGTTCAGTAGGCAAACCTAGATCTATGTTGTTAGAATCAATATACTCACATATATAACATATCGTTTCGGTTAAAGGTACGCTAGTGAACAAAGAATTAACGTCAAGCGAGAACATGTGTTTTTTCGGAAGTATTAACGTCTTTAGTACGATCAATAAATTAAAAAGTATCATGAATAGAATATTTACATACTTGCCTTCTAACCGGTTCCAATTTTTCCGCTAACCATTTGGCGATTCTGTGGTATGGTGAACTTGACATGTCCAAAATAGGTCATAACGGTAAACCCGGATTATGTATTTTCGGTAGTCTATATAAGCGCAGGATTATTGAACCCATGGGACGTATGTTATTATATAAATCTTGGGTTATTATCCCCTTATTCTTAAGATTTTTAGCAACATCTGTTAGCTGTTTTTCGATTTGGAATGTTTCATCAACTTCTTTAGGTTTGAAGAATTTAGTACCATCTTCTAGAATTAACCTCATTTTATCCAAATATTCTTGGCGGTCAAGTAGTACTACACCAGCTCCTTTGTCAGGTTTACTTAGGACTAAACCCTTATTTCTTTTCAGCAATATTAGAAATGGAGATAGTGGATAGTCTTGTCGGACATCACTTGAGGTTGCGAAATCAGATGACAGTTCGCCATAAGTTCTGACTCGAATAGTAGTGTTTGAGTAAAAAGCTTTCACAAGGTTTATGCACTTCTAAGGTACACCTTTCAATGACAGACACTGCCACAGGGGATTTTAGCCTTTGGTCAAGTGGTTGAAAGTTAAAGACTGTAACTGATTAAGCCATAACCCAAAAATTCAGAACTAATTAGAATAGTACTAAAAGATTTTAGTTACTTCATCACAATTCATTAGTAACTTTTTTCTATACTCTTTTTTAGATATGTAGACGCTACAAGATTCCTAGTTCGAGCTTATGAAAAGGCTTGTGAATTAAGTGGACAAGTTCCTTCGCCTTTCTGGGAGCCTCTTGTTAATAATTTAGCACATTCTTATAGGAAAATGGGGTAAATGAAATTTTGTCTACAATGTTTTAAATATTAGTATCTTATTATTCTAACAGGTTTCTTGTCAGTTGAAAACTCACACAATTTAGTAGATATAAACAGACCATACCTAGTGATATTTGTTTAAGCTGTTTAACTGTTGTTAAATGAGATTTAATTGTACTTGAGAATATAATGCAAGTGTAGTGTTATTTAGTTATATGTGAAAAACATTACTTGCCTAACTAATAACACATGTATAAAACAGAATAACGGTTATTCTTGACAGTAAAATATTTTGTCAAGTAATCACGCGAACATAAACAAAAAATTGTCAATAAAGACACAACCGCAGTGTTATTTCGTTGAAATTTTATATAAGAAAACTTCGTATCACAATCGTTTGAGAAATAATAGCCTTAATCAAATCTCACGAAATATTGTCGCAATACCAATAGTGTTAATAAGCTCACACTGTCTTGTAATAAGGAATATAACTATCATTCTTTGTCTGAATCAGTCAAAAATGCTTAGATCTATCTTGAGTCACCTGACCAGTCAGTATATGTTTTTCATCGCGGCACTTCAATTTTCGGTCATTATGATTATTTGTAGATAATTAGGACAAAAAGTTGTACATATGATTGTTGAGCGTATTGGTATATTTAGTATATAACTAACTACTTAGTTCGCTGTACTTTTACATAAATATGTTAAAACCCTTTTATTTGAACTGAGTTAGTCTTTACAGCCAAGCAATAGCTATGCATGAACTTGCACTTCGCTTAGTGCCTGAGTCTCCAACAACACTTGCGTGCTTGGCAATGTTGCATGCAATCAATGGTAACCTTGAAGTTGCAGTAGACTATCTTCACCGGTCTGTTGGGGTCCAACCATCGAGCTGTGGGTCTACTTCTAGCAATGTGGCTTCTACAATGCTGAATGTATGTATTGAAGCGTTAACGGGGAAAGGAATTTATGCTTCGAATCATAAAGTTGGAAAAGGTAAGGGTGAATTGAATCGACCAGCCTTTTTATTTTCTATATTAAGTGAATGCAGGAAAATAGATATACACTATTACGGTGTATGCACACAGATTTCTACTCACAAAATATCGACTGTCAATATAATTAATCAATTAGTAAATATAAAAGAATAGTATACATTAAAACATGCAGCGCAATTAAGGGAAACTACACATGCATGACTATCAGTTTCTATTCTAAATTATAATAACATCTCATGCCACTGAGTTGCATGATTTTTATGAGTTCTCCTAAAGCCATGATGAACAAACAGCTGCTGTCCCACAGATTGATTGCTTCTACTGTTTTTCCACCTAGCGTCAGCAAATAATAGGGGTATGGAGTAGCGTGGAGCCCTTATGGAGTCACTACCGGTCCAAAGCCCGAGTAAAGAAGGGTTATGGATTAGATTGGCAACTCTATCCCGTAGAAAAAAATTTTGCTAAAAGAACGACAGCCAGAAAAGTCATTTGATTATTTAGGCTCTGCATCGGGAGTTAAAGGATCTTTCAAGTGACTGTGAAAATAAAATACAGTCTGGCGGTTCCTAAAATACGTGAAACACATTGGATGGAAGCTGGGCAGAAATATTAGCTTTGGGATATGTGCTGCTGTATGAAGAAGAAGGTGCCTCTCGCATACAAGTAGCTGCACGTTTCCAAAAAAAACTTGACGGGACAATTTCTTTTGAAAAACACTAATACACCAGTCAGGATCCATTTCTAATCCCATACTTGTTATGGCTTACTATGTAAAATTTGGTGCGATACCTTACTTACACTTTAAATTTTATTTGACTGTTCAGATCCTATCATCGGAGATTTCATTTCTTATCCAGATATGAGTTATGGCACGCTGGCGTTGTATGAAAACCCTATGGATGTTGTGATATGCAAGTATAGAACATCATAGTTGTCACCATCGCTTCTATGTAATTCATAGTGCCAGGAGCGTTGGTAAAATGTCATTGCCTTTTAAGACATTTTAAAGGCTTTATAGACTTTACAGACTACTGTGATGCTAGATTCAGAATTCAATTGACAGGAAACATTGTTTAAATGGTCACGGTGTGTATACCGTGTTTGCCGATGTACACATTTTCGATTATTTATCAGGATAGATTAATACCATTCCTGGTCGCACAGTGAATCTATAGCTCTTGCTCAAAATAGAGTATAAATCATTTTATGTACCTGAGTGATCTAATCAAAACAAAGATTCAACTATGGGTTTAGGATTACTGTATATTACGTATGAAGATGAATAATAAACCTTTATATGTTTGCTACAATTTTCCTAAAATCCAGTCGCTGAATTTGGAGAACTCAAGGAATTCTATTTACTCTTGCTATTGTTTTAGATATTCCAGATACTCTTCCTGAAAACCTTATGACTGCTGCTGGACCAGGAAGTCTCCCAGGATCCAACCGGATTCGTTTTAAAATGGCACCAAGTGAGACTTTAAAGCCTAACAAATCGGTGCTTCAGTTGGATGTTAATTATAGAGAAAAATCTGCTAACGCTCCTAACATATCGCTGCACACAAGCGATGAAGATGTGTCTATGGACCTTGGTTAATTCCTTGATTTTATATAAGTGATTGCTATTGTCCACATATTCTCTTGTAACTAGATGTGAAACAAGATTAAGCTTTACACATGTTTTTTATCTGTCATTAGGGATTCAAATTTTCCAAGTATAACATCTATCTTACTCGTCTTTACGATTGTATTCACGTAGATTCTTTTTATCCCCATAATTCAGTCGTAGTTGTCACTCTGATATAGTGGTCATCTCTACGTATATTATTTCTTAAACCAATTGATACTATAGCATCAATGATTGCGGGTTGGTTTTTAACCGGAAAACAAAGTCATGCTGCTGTATGATCACATACTTCAAATGCATGAAGAGACAATGTTTACAACTTTCAGGTTATAAAAAGCAATCTGATAGAGTGATTGATTCCAGTTTTGGCGCCCGGACAGTATCTCAGCCCTCGCACAAATCGGATGGTGAAGTGTGGCGCATATATATTTGGTACCCCCTTGTACCAGTGTTTGTGTTTAAATGGAATAAATAATAATTAATTTCAGAAAGCATACGTTTCAATTCCAGTCGCTTGCACGTCTATTGCTAAAAGAAATCTTTGAAACATAACTAAGGTTTAGTCTGAATTTAAAGGTCAACGATTTACTTATTCGTACATAAAGAATTATTGATAAATAGTTTTGTCACTCGGTAATACAATTTATTAATTATTGCTCGGTTTCATTCAGCTAAATTTTATATATGTAAGCAACAAGTATGAAAAAGCTTATAGTAGCTGCAACATTATCAGCTCTCTAGTCATTGAGTTGAACTGTTCACGTAATTTTATATCATTACAATTGTGACGAGGAATGTATAACAATACGAGTCGCTGTTTAGATCAATGTAGCTGACGAAAACTACTAGTAGTCTTTAATACGTCCGTGCACTATGGTAATATTTCGCAACCCCGACTTCAATACAGTGAACGAGAAGATTATCCTCTTCTTTACTGGCACCATAACTGAAGAAAAAGATTGAAGTGTTTCGACAATGGCCTCAGCACACCAACCGAAAATATTAATCAATGGATTATATATCAGTTACAATCATTGGAATCTATGGACTAATTATTCGTTACTAAGCCAAAATATTATTGAAAATGTATCGAAAGCCTACGTACAGTCCATACTAGATCACTTGATGTAACGGAAATGCATCTGAATCAATATTGATTTCATTTCTCTTAAGCTGTATTTCAGGACTGGACATCTTTAATAGTTTTAGATACAACGCTGTATGAAATAAGGTTCGTACTTAGGAATACCGCTACTCACTACACTTTGACCTACACTATTGTATCCCGAAATATCACAATACTCAGATAATGAGAAACACAAGGGTATTAAAATAGTTACTGTTGGAAAAAAGATGAATTAATCATGTACTCTATATTTTATATTGTAGCTTCGTTTGAGCCACTCATGGGTTTCTCTCTTATAAAGCTAAACATAAGTCAGTAATTTCATGGAATAAAGTACTAAGGTTTTTACTTCATTCTTATTACAGGCAACATCAATTCAAATACAAACTAAGCATGCAGTGCATAACGTTCTTCCCTACCATTTCGTTAACAGCAAGAGTTTGGTCTGTGAAAACGCCCAAGAAACAGGCTTCTAATTTTTTTGCGGTCATGAGTGAGCGGTTGAATCTGCCACTATATCTACAAGACAGAATATAGGAACCGAATGTACCATACATTAATAGTCATTGGTCTGGCTTTATGATCTAATTTCTGAACTGAGCAATCTCCCAACTATATGGGTCTTGTAAATATATGCAAGCTATTTAAGCACTTGAACGATCACTTAATCTGACGTATCTGGGTGAACAGTGGTGGTTTGCATGTAAACTAGTCAAATTCACTACTACTAAGAATATAATTATTACTATTTGTGTGCTTTTCACTCCTACTATGCTAATATAGAGTACGAAAAAGTGCCATGTGTTTACAACATTTGCGACTGATTTTCATAGAAAGGAATTTCGGGGAATCTCAAGATACTTATTACGAGTTGATTCCTTGAGACTTCACGTAAGTAGTGATTAGAACATGCAAATCGATAAAAATGTATTCAATTCTATGTACATGGCTACGTAACATTTTTAGTGACTAGTTTATATACAAAGTTCTTAATCCGTTTAAATATCACTGGGTAGACGCTCCAAATAAATCAAATGAAATGAAGTTACTTGAATGTAGGAAGAAACGAAGAATTATAGTACTGTAATGACTGTGAGGCACTTGGTACGGATGAATCAAGGTTGAGATGAACAGGCCAAAAAGAACTATTGGTATGTGGGTTTGTGGGTGTATACGAATTAGGAGTGGCATATGGTGGTAATGATCTGGGCAAATTCATTAGATTGAGTGGAATCGAAGGGGTTTTATGGTTAGTAGACTGATTAGCATACACGGGAGGGCATACAGGTTGAGAAAAAGATGTATGATTATTTAGAGTTGAAGGATATTGAAAGGTGTTTGAGGAATACGAATGGTAAGGTAAAGTACTGGCCGGATGCGATTCTAAGTGGTTTGAAGTAGGAACTCGTTTTCTCTCGGTAGGTGGTTCATTAACACCTAGAAAATCAGCAATAGCAGATAGTCGTCTTCCAGCTGGATTGTGGAATTGGGAGTTTGTGCCTGAACCCTGGTTAACTTCACTCCTCATTCCACGCCTGAAATATCTTGGGGTTTTTATCCAGTTCTGCTTTTGAGCTTTTTTAAGTTCACAGCGTCTTGAAAATATGGTGTACGCGTCGAATATTTTCTCATCATTTGTAAGGTTATCGGGTGCTGGTTGGTGTATTATATTTTGTGGTTCATATGGGTTAATAAGTGGCTTTAAAGGAGGATTGTTTTGCGCATGCCGATTAAATGACGTTGAAACGACTTGATTTTTGTGACACTCAACACCTCTTTGAGGCGAATTTGGGATATTATTCAGTCCTTCTCTGTTTATTGGCACGGGAGCATAAACAGGTCTTGAGACGTTCAGGTGATGAGAGGGGTTAGGATGCTCCATTTTCGTAATCAAAGGTGTATTGTTTACAGTCGAACCTACGGAAGCATCTGACAAAACGAAAAATTGGTATAAGCTATAGAAATGAAACTAATCTGACTAAAAAAATGTACAACTCAGACAGCCCCTAGACGGTAGACATGATAAAGCCAAAATATTTGTAAGAAACTTAATGGTAACACTACTTAATACTTTGACTAATAAAATACTATTACTGAGACAATTAGATCGTTTTGTGTTGAAAATAAATGTCACATTTATAAAAATGTCACTCATGTAGTTAAGAGTTTGCTATCCATCATTCAAAGTATAATATGAACTCATTAGACGAGTTTATTTTACTGTCTGTATCGAATGACTAGATAGTATTAGAAACATTGTATGACTGTGTAGGAGAGTATTGGTTCTTAGTAGTTTATCCATCTTACGAATAGAAGCAACGTATAGGGATGCTTAGCTGTTAAAAAGTCTAGAAATTCAATAATTGGGAATTCGCCTAAGGCAGTGAATTATTAATTGGAACACATGGTTTCCGTAAGTCCCAAGTACAAACCTCGCATCACTAGCCTTATTGCAAACAGTATAAATCAAAGTATATCATTTTCTACTCGACAAATGAGTCACATCAAACTTAGAATTTTACCATACAACAGAATAGGTGTTTACTTACTGTGTACTGGATCTTCAATTCCTGATATTTGATTATAACCAGGAGATATATATTGCTGATTATCTCTGTTAGTAATCTGCTGATTGGAATTTCTAATCTCAGTTACATTGATATTCTTTTCTTTCAACGTTGGATTTAGACCCCTAGGTAACTGTCCGGAAGATTTGAGAGCATCAATAGCTGATAATATTACATTAAATGCACTGCTGGATAAAGCTATTCGAGTGCTATTCTCTCCTGCATTAGCATTACGTTCATTTAAGCTCCCAGTGTTAGGAGGAATAGGGTAGTTGTAATTCTTGTACATAGGAACTGAAGGGCCTACTGGAGTTCCAAGGGGTGGGAGAATTAAGTCTTTTTCAAATCTTCTAAGACAATGGATTGTTAAATTAAACACAAAGATAAAAATTGTCAATACAAAAGCATATAAATAGATAATTAAAAGTATTTGTGCTAAAAATATCAATCCGAACAGCCAGTCAAAGCAACTACGAAGTATTCATTGACTTGTACACATATACAAAAATAATAGGTCGTTTGGGATTTCATTCTAACTATATAAATATGAGGAAAAACAGTTTTTCAGGAGGGGTAGGCAATTTTTATGACTAGGGAGTCATCAAATTTTAGGACTTTCGTTGGGATAATTCTACCGACTGAAACACATTTGATAAAGTCTGTTTACTTTAATAATTTAGACAATAAAATAATAAACAAAAACCTATGATTCAGATCACTTTGTTAGTAGAGAGGTATAGGATCTCTAAATGATACAGTCGGGTGAAGGCAGCCATTGATGTGAATCAAATGACCGTTAGAAAATACTAAAAACGTGAGTTGGGTGAGCAACAATTCTCTAAATATTGCTTTTTATTTCGTCACTGAATGTATGAAACATGGAAGTTACAGGGACTTGATACCAGATATCTTCCTACAAATTACTAGCTATGTCATTATGTAAAAATGGTGAATTAGTGAGTTTGTAAACTTTAATTGATTGAGATGGCCAAGAAGTGGTTTGCATGTGCCTACCTTAGTGGTATGCTAACCAGAATAAAGGTGAGTAGTCAGAAGTTATAAGAAGGTCTAGATCACACACGTATTGTAGTATCAGTTTATGAAAATTTGAAATGCTGGGTCTGAAACTTCTCAACTGGGATCAGTAGAGATACAAGACCGAAGGTTTGGGGCTTCAAGTTATCAGGCTCGCGGGATCGTGGATGCGCACTGCTGGAGTCCCACAATAGGACGAAACGGCCGTCCAGTGCTTCCAGGTTTTCAATTGTGATGGTCTAACATCAATCGGTTCATGATCTCAATCAAAAATCATAAAAAGATGTTGAAGTAGAGCTGATGCATTCTAAACATCATCCAATTCTAATTGCTGAGTACCTGTGTTTTAGTTATTTAGCACCTATTCATTTCCACTTTACGCTGTACGGATAAAAAAGTGGCGAGTGAGACAGATTATAATGGTGTAAATATTTCCAATACAACCCATTATTTGGGACAATTTGGTCCTATGCTTTAAGTTGCCCGCCTTTATTTGCTGAATGTTTACGATAGTCCTTAAGTACAAATAGATTTTCAAACATAAGACACCAAAATATTTCCAGGTAAACAGGTTGCAACATTGGAAAATTCTATAACCATAATAATAAAATTCTACCAATAAATAAATTCACTCAGGCAAAAATATAAATTTAAATAACGTGGATATATTGCAGCATATATTAATGCTGGCGACAACAAATAAACCATGATGTGTTCATAGGCCTGTCGTGAAAACCGTGATCTTGATAAATAATAGTACAGTTTTAGCGTAACAATGAGATGATGTATTTTGCTAAATCCGTTAAAGTATTATACTCTATAAAACCAACAAGGTTATATAAAATGATGTACAGATAATAACAGAAAAATATGCCCAATTCCTAAAACTAGTCAATTTCTATAATCACTATAAAACGATTTTAAATGGTTATATTTGACTTTATTGAAGATTTTATCGGTATATGTTTGTTACTGATGTCTTGTCAAAGTACAAGGATTAGATGTTTCTGAGGTAACTCCTTCCTAATGGCATCTTTTTAAGTGAACTCAGCCTAACTCACTAGTTAGATAACCGGAGCGGTAGCTTACTGAGTAAGATATTAGACTATCAGCCACTACGTCCTAGGATCAAACTCCGTTCCACTTACTTTGGTCTGGATAACTGGGAAGTATGAATAACCCTTACCTAGAATGTAGCTCATACCCACGCACTTGGTGAATGAGTTATATTTATATATTTTTAGACATATAAACATTGGTATAAAGGGGCACTAAACAGATATGCGCCGCATAAACCATTCGATTTGCGTGAGGACTGAGATACCCGGGTACCCAAACCGAAGCAGGTGGTTTCCTTAGGGGGCAACTCGCCGAGCCTTTGACCTGAATGTCTAATCGACAAGGCAGTGGAACAATGTTGAGAGATTCAGTCCCATGTTAGTCGGTGACCAGCAATAGGTTCATATGTAATTTGTTCCCTCAGGATCCTGGAGCCCATGTGCACTATTGGTTTGGAATCAGGGTTTTCCAACTCCCCTAAGTGGACTCTTCATATCCACCAACCCGGCTAAAACGCCGGACATTTGCTTTTCGTCCTCTCAATTTCGTAAACAACATCCCCGCCGCGAGAAGACATTAGGTAGGACTTTCCTGTCAGTTGTTGTATACGCCTGGCCATGTGAGCATTTCGAGAGGGAGAGTTGACTCCCCCCACTCTCGGTTATACCAGGGTATTTGGGGGCTTTATTTATAATTACTTAGACAATCAAAACATTGAACGGTGCATATATATTTTTTGCAAACCCATTAAGAACACAAGATAACATTGGTTTAAACGACTTAGCTAGCAGCGTTCTATTTTATTTACTAGTCTTGATTTTAAAATTTTCCGTAGGAAATAAGCAGTGGGATTCAGTCAACACCTTCATAAATACAATTTTCTCCATTACAAACAAGTTTACAAATTTGAACTTTCAAGCATTACAAGAAAGAATTGAAGAAATTATGTATTTATATTACTTACCTTGATTTATAATAATGATTGTAAGAAAAATCATGTATAAAAAAGCAATGTTGAACTGGAGAATTTTCAGTATTTGATAATTTGTTAGCCTGAATTCTTGCTGTAGCGGATACATCTGCTGCTGT